AGGTGTTCAGTTGGCAAAGAATATAGCTGTTGTTTAGTAGCGCTCAGATGGCGAGCGAATAGGACCGGAGATATCAAACTGAGAGTTCTGTGAAAGCTGAGAAGATTGTTTCTTGAAAGGCAAACAGCCGAATGTAAAAACATCTCTCGCTGTTCCTATGTAGAAGCAGCAGTCAATCCGTAGCTTCGTTACAGCCGGCGGCGGGGGCTTGTGAATATTTGTCTGCAGGGCTGTGTTCTGGGGGTTTTCAGGGATAGGGGAGTTGTTCATTTTTTTTGGATGCTATACCGGTCTTGCCTAATGCTGTAGAAGAGAGAAATAACGATCGCTTCAGTCTGGATGCTGGAGCCCATCTGGGACTGTGATGTTCTCTTCTGGGCTTAGCGGCTTAGCAACAAGTGAAATGCGTTTGCAACGCTTTCTCTAAACGTTTGTAGTTAAAAATGTTTGTATATATGTAACATAGATGGCTTGGAAATAAGACCCACCTTTCTATTGCAGCGTTTGGCTTCTTGAATGGCCGCAAGCGTCTGGCTGCCTCAGGAGCCAGGCTTTGGGCTGTTGGCAGAGGTGGAAGGAGGTTGCCATGAGTGCGTTCGGGGAATCTTGACTTGTGGTAGGAATTGTGAGTGCAGACCTCAGACCTGGGGCTCTGCTTATATCCTGCAACTGACCACAAAGCTTTTTCAGCACTTCACTGTGGAAGCTTACACGAAAGCTACGGTCTGTGTGCTGGGGAGGGGTGCGGGCACTCCGCGGGCTTTTGGATGCTCTTCCAGCAGCGAGCGGAGCGTGAGCTCCAACGTAGCCGGAGACTCGTGCCGCAGCTCCGCTGCTGGTCGGTCCCAGGGCTTGGCTGAGCGTGCGGAGAGACAGAATGGGGCCTCGTGGGTGAGGGGGAATTGTCAAAGGGCGGTTGGTGGCACAGCTTCAGCAAATCGACCTCAATGAGAAATCTGTGTTTTTACTGTTGTTTTTATTTCTTTTTCCCCGCCTCTCACTAGTTGTTTTGGATCGCGGCTGTTTCAGCTTAGAGCTGCGTTAAAGTGCAAGGAAGAGGAGAGGGACGTTGTGTGTGACTGTGTGCAGCTGTGAGCAGAGGGCAACTCCTTCCGCAGTGACCCGCTTTTCTTCTCAATAACCTACTCTGGATTGCTCGTCTCTTAATGCCAGCTAGGGAACTGTGCTTAAAACGTTGTGTTCTCGAGCTCCTTGGCTTGTTTGCTGATCGGTCTGACTCCTCTGCTGTCCCCTCTTCACGCAGACCTGATTGTTTTGATAGATTGGTCTGTGTTCCTATTGTGTGAATATAGGGAGAGGCAGAAGAGAGGGGTGCTCTCAGCACATCGGGTTTGGAGGTAGCATGGGTGGGTGCGTCGTGAAATAGGGAAGGCCCGGAAGAAAAGGCACTCGGATGTCTCTGTACGTTCTCAAAAGCCACTGCTTTGGTGACCGCCAAGCAAACGCTCTCACTCTCGTGTACGCTTACAGCCAGCTAGCATGCTGCGGCTTTTGTCTGTGTTAGCTCCGCTGTCTCCTCACCACTCTTGGTCCTCCTATAGATCCCTTAATCTGTGACAGACCTTTGATAGAAGTTGTGTTTATAAAGCCGCTTTGGCTCGGTTCAGGACCAAGCCCTTGGGTTCTTCTATGTTTCCGTTTTCTTTGTGGTCTGTTACAGTAGAGGTGGATGGGATGGTTTTTACCACGGGATGGCGAAAGGGCTCACGGCTGAGTGGGTCCCTCGGGGGTTTTTGGGAGGTGTGTCGTGGCAACCTCAGGTTGAAACACAGGTTAACTACATAATTCCGAGTGATGCCTTAACTTGGTCAATGCATTTTGCAGCTCAGCTTCTGGGGCTCATTGGTTAGTGAGACCAGCTTAGCCAAACTGCTTACAGTAGTATTGTGAGACCCACCACGGAGCTTGATTTCAACTTGAAGGGGACGAAATAGTTATTTTGCAAAGTGATTTGTTTTAGTTACTGAATATCACTATTTGTGAAAACACAGTAAGTAAAGAAACTCTACTTCTCAGAGTCTGGCCCGGGTCCTGTTCGGTCAGAGCAGAAGCTGGAAGAAGAGCTCGTAGCTGTCAGCTGAAGCTGGACGGCCAGGAGGATCACGGTGTACTCTTTATGACTAGAGGATAGCTTAAGAGATTGTGTTACTGCTGCTTTTTTCAGGTACAGGTCAGTTCCTAATTTCCACCCTTAGTCTGCACGCCTGCAGGTGGCTTCAGTACAATTTGAGGGTCGTTACCCAAGTTCCTTAGTGAGAAGGAGCCCGTATCAACCTGTGTTATAGGCTGCTGACCCTCTCTTGGGAGAGGTTAACGAAATTAATTTTTTTTTTTTTCTCTGGCAGCACTGTGTTTTGTTACCAAGAGCAGGGAAGTGTAGTTTTCTGGAGAAGCGGTTAACCTTGGAAATGAGAATGTGAGTAGTTATTGCTGAGAGCTACCTGCTGGGTCGCGCGCCTGTGGGTAACAGGGAAAAGGGCTTAGGCTTAGAGAAGGGATCTCCTAGCGGGTCTGCTGCTATTATGTGACTCTCTGGGATCTGCTGGAACAAGTAACTTTCCTTCGCAAATCTGAAAAAGCTTTTTTCCTTTTCTTTGGTATTTATCAGAAAAACACCTTAGCCTTCAGAAATGGAGTCCTAGAAATACACGGATATTGTTCTGTAGCCATCTGAGTGATGGTTCTGGTCGCCCTTTGGCTTCTTTAGCAGCTGCGACGATGCCTTCTGGCGTGGGCCTTGCTTTTTGTCCCGAATGCAGCTGAAGCGTGGCAACAGGCGACTCACGCCGGTTTCAGGGCAGCTGGGGACGCGTTGCTCGGCCCGGTGAGGCTGTGCATTTTGGGACTGACTAGGCAGCTCATTCTAGCTGAGCCTTTCTAGGTGCAGAGCTTTTACTCGTGACGCACGCAGTCGGCAGCGGCTGTAGTTTCTTTCTCAGGGCTGCTGTGTTTCTTGGCCGGCATGGAAGCAGGCGTGCCACCAAAGGCCTTGTTGCCCTCTGCCAGATGCTGGAGGAGCTGGTGTTTGGTACCGAGAACCGAGAAGCGGTAGAAATCCTCACCTGTCTGTTTCCTCCCTGCTTGGCTCTCTGAGCTTTCTCTGCTTCTGGGTTGTTCCCATCGCTGTTTGCAGCTGGCAGGCAGTTGTCCTTTGGTCGAAGCCAGGGCTCACCGCTTCGGGTGTGCCGGGGCCGTACGGCATGGTTCCTGGCCCAGAATCATGCCTCTGATTTATTTTGGCCTTTCATTGCAGCGGGAAGCGTGTGGCCAAACGTTGTGGTTGTGATGAGGTGACGAGTAGTACAGGGCTGTTACCCGCTGCTTTGGTTTCCTCTCACACAGCAGAAATGCTGAGGCTGCTGTGGGTGCCTGAGGAATTCACTTCTGAGCATTTAAAAAAAAAAAAAAAAATTGTTTTGAAAACGATGTTGCTGAAGTGTCTCCTTAAGTGCTGGGGTGCTGTGACGGCCGCCGCCTCCTCGCTCAGCACGCACTGCTTTGTGCTGAGGGCGGTTGGGTGAGGAGCGCGGGCCTGGGAGCAGCTTTGCCTGCGGTGTACGTGGGCATAGTGCTCACCTGCGTGTGGGGAGAGCTCGTTCCTTTTGCTGCGTGTACTGCGAACAGGAGGGCTGTATTTCTGGAACGGTCTCGTACAGCATTTTTTTTTGTTTTGTTTTTCAAAAAAGGTGCAAGATTGAGTGCATGTTTACTTGCCCCAGATCAAAGGTTTTGAACACTAAGGTCACTGTCAGCTGAATGGACCCTCCTCTTGGCGCTCTTCTGTCTTCAGGCAATCGAAGCTGCTGCCCTTTCTCTCCCAGTTTTACTGTAACTACTGTTGGGTTTTGCTGTTTTCATTCCCGGGAGAACTATGTACAAAAAATTGAAAGCAATTAAATGTTCAAGCCATAACATCATGAGTGTGGGAAGACCCTCTTCACGAGTTTTAATGTATTTATATGTAAAATGACGTTTGTATGAAATATTTTCATGGTAGAATGCATATTTTAAAAGCAAAAAAAAAGTTCCGGTAAGATGAAACAGAGTTGCAAAGGATGCGTTTTTGTAAGATGCAACTGTAATTGGTTACTGATAAGTAGACTTCTTTTATTTTTCCTTGGGGGAGATGCAAGCAATTATTGCAAATTACAATTGCGAGCGGTCCTTTCTGCTGTTCGGGGAAGTATTTATCCAGCATCCCGTGTGGCTGCCGTAACTCGCGGCGATAGCAAGGCCCGTCACACGTTCAGGACGTACCTCTCCTGCCCCTCGTGGGCCCTGGGCAAGCGGGGCCCTCCCTCCTTTCTGCAGTTCTGTCCTGTACGACTTTTCCTACTGTAACTGTACTGGGTTGAACTCTTGAGCTAAGATCCAGACTAAAATTGTGTGTCACTCGACGGTTTCTGCGGGGCCTTCTGCCGTTTTAATACTCTGTAGCCCATACTTACTGGGTCTCTCGGTTCTTCAGAACTAAGTGCTAAAGAATAATCCTTGGGGTGAGCTTACACGCGTGTTCACAGTTAACCCCGGCGTATATAACTTGTATACAGTACTTGATAGGTGTTTTATGACATTTGTATCGAACTACGAGCCTTACCGAACATCTGTAGGTTTATTCATGACTTTTAAAAATGGATAACTCTAAGAAAGATGTTTACATGACTGACGATTGCCCTTCCTTTGATGTTATGAATGAGGTTTTTATAGTGTGTTTGGGTGTATGTGCAAGGAAGCAAGAACAAAAAAAACAAACAACACGTTTCTGGGGTTTGAAAAAACAAACAACAAAAACAAACAACACACAGACTCGAGAAACATTTGTAATAAGTGAATTTTAAAGATCGCTTTAATTGCGCTACGGAGGCAATGCAGATATTAAAACGTTCAACAGCAGCGCTGTCTGTCCGTGTTTGCTGCGCCGCCCATCCCGGCGGGCGCTGAGGGCCGGGCCGCCTGCTGGCCAGTGCCGCCCCGCGGAGCCGTGCTCCGCCCCGCCGGAGCGCTATGGATCGCTACCGGTACTTCGTCTTCAACCAGCGCAACATGGTGCTGCTGGGGCTGCTGCAGGTGGCCTTCAGCACGCTGTGCGTCGTCAGCGGGTTCGTCGACGGCCTGTTCGGGGGCGACTCGCCGCTGGGCAGAACCAGAGCGCCCGTATGGGCTGGGATGGTAACGCGGCACTCCGCTTTCTACCCTCCGCGGTTTCCCCTGTGGTTTCCGTGGGTGGGGAGAGGCCGGGGCTCCTCGCCAGCCCTTCCTGCTTGGAACCCGGGCGGTGCTGCGGGCGGAGCTTCCGACTGACGGAGCGAGAGCCGCTCGTGCCGGGTGATGCCGAGAGCGGGGCTGCTGCGGCCGCCGCCCCCCGCAGGCTGCCGCCGGGACGCGCCTCGGCGCGGAGCACCGCGGGCCAGCGGCTCTTCCCTCGCTCCCCTTCTCCGTTTCTCCGAGCCAGACCCTGAAAACGAGGGCCTTTCAGCCCTTTATATTCAGAACCCGATACCCGTCGTCAACTCTGATTACCGACTCCTTTTCTGCGTTGCAGGTCATGGGAGTCCCAGGCATCCTGGCGTTGTTTTCCTCTCAGAGGAAGAACCCGGTCCTTGTAAGCAAAGGGGCTTTGCGTGCGGATGGGGCAGGGGCTGGGTGCCGTGCGGGGAGCCGCCTCCGCAACCCGCGGAGCCCATTTCCTAGAGTGGCCCTCGTGGGAAAAGCCGCATCTATACGAAGGAGGAGGACGCGATGTCTCTGCCTTCTAACGCGTAACGTGAGCTCTGCCTGGCTCCGATAACCCAAATCTGCAAAAAATGCTCGAGAATGCCTGTGTTATCGTTTTACTCTTTTATTTACGATTGCTGCCTGGCATTAAGTGTGCGCGGCAAAACAGGAAGCAAGTTAATTCTCCTGCGTGTCCTAGATGGGTGTCTCTAGCTGCGCGAGCCCTAAAGGAGGATGCAGTTCCTAAGAGACCTTTAAGAAGGACGCATTTCAGCCCCGCTTGCACCCGGGCCCGGGATGTGGGACTCGATGGTATCTCAGCAGCTCAGTCCCGTGGAAGCCTTTATTGTGCTGTGTTTGGTTTCTACCCAACGGTTGCTACCGGATACTTCCTGGTGTTACAGCAGGTCGAAGTCTGAGACCTGCTGCTCACTGGCCCCTTTTCTTTGTGTTAATTGCATTATTTTAAGGCAGGGCAGTTTAAATGCCTTTCCCTTTTCTTACTTTCCTGTAATTTCTTTGCCAGGTGAATGTGCTGGTAGCGGCATCTATGCTGTCTTGCGTGTCCATCCTCATTGTCATAGTTTACAGCTCCCTAACGCTGTCCTACGGAGAAGAGGAGGAGCTAAGCTCTCACCCGGTACACGTTGTGCATACAGTGAGTGTCCCCCGAGCCCGTCGCTGTCCTTGATGTGCAGCTTCCCGCTGCCTGCCGACGGGCCGTGCACCCCAACGCAGCGAGGTCGGGTTCGTAAGCGCCGAGGTGGCAGCAGAAGGGTTGGGTTTGTTCTAGGAATGAGTTGCTTTGCCCTTTTGCGCATCGCGTCCGTTGCGATCCGTGTGCGGGTACATCCGAGGCACGTGAAGCTGTGCGTCAGGTCAGAGCCAAGCGTCAGGCCGGGGAGACGCAGCGTAGCCAGGCGTATCTCATAGCATGACAGGGAACAGCCCGTTCCTTGTCTTTTAATGCATTGTTCGTCCGGAGTGCTTAGCTTGGCTCGTTCTTCAGAGCACAGAAGAAAGGTTTTAAAGAACACTGCCCTGAAATCGATACCGATGCGTAATCACGGCTCTCTTACGGTGTCTAGAGAATTTTGGTGGAAATCTTTGCTGTCTGAACGCGGCTCTAACGTTTCCTTTTTTGCTTGCAGAAGCTTGTTCTGAATAAAGTTGTCAAGGGTGCTAACATCACAATGTTAATTGCATCCGTCTGCAGCGCCGTCGTCGTGCTGGTCATTGCCTACCTGGGGTGCCGAAGTCTTCCTCGCTGCTCGTGCTACGACAGCGTAACCGGGATGGTGAGTGGGGGGCTGAGAGCTCCGCGTTATCGCACGGAGAGGGAGGGCGTGCTTCCCTTCCGCTAACGTTACCTCGGCTTTGCCCCGACCCTCCTGCTCCAGTGCTACCGAGGGAAGGGGGGGTCAGAAGGACTTTAGCTTTCTGTCTTTCCTTTTGCTTCTCCCAGTTCTTATTTACCAGGTCTCAGGGTGAGGTTTGTGATGGGGTTCTTTCCTTCATAGGAATGGTTGCAGCCTTGTGACGACCAGACTCAGGCCGTGGAAATGGTTTGCGCTGTACAAAGTGAGTAACTGTTCCCATCTGTGTATTTGGGTGTTCGCTGGGGATATGAGCCGTAAATCCCGATAAGAAAAACATTCTGAGCAGGGACCCGGGAGTTTGTGCGGAGGGCTACGCCACTTCTAACAGTACCCTCTCCCTTCCCCACGCAGGTCCTGGGGATGGAATTCTTAACTTCCCGACTCGGTTTCCAGCGCAGGACTGTGACGCGGAGGAAGGTGCATCCAAGCCTCCGCCGTACATCAGAATGGCTTGAAAAAGTGACGGACTGATCTAAAGCTGCTAGTCGAGACGTACAGTGAGATGGACGAAAGGAGTCCTCCCCATTTGAAAACATTATGCGCTTTTCCTGGGCCTTTTAAAAAAAGCGCACGGAAGGAGAGAACCCTTTGAAGGCCTGACGGTCAGCAAAGATCCCAGTGCAAACGGAGAGACCTGCAGATATTTGGGGACGTTCAGACTCCGTGTAGCTGAAATAGCTCATTGCCTCTGGGAAGCGTGAGCTTTTTTTTCCGGCTTTTGTACTTAATTTGTGTCTTCCTCCACTAGAAATCATCGTGCAGTTTGTCTAGCAGCGCTAGCCGTACGCATTCAATTATTAAACACAACTTATTTTTAAAAGAAATGGATTGTGGTGTATTCCCTCTTATCTTCTCCCCCTGCTTCTTGAATTGTATGCCGCGAAGGATCCACCTTGCTCAGCTGTTAGCTGAATATTTGCCCTCCGGCCGGGACGGGGCGGGTCACGTCAAGGACAGGAAGCCTTGCAGTGCCAGTCTGATGCCTCCGTGGAAACAGAGCTCTGGGTGTGTTCCTGCCTGGGGACAATTCAACTTATTCGTGAAGGATAACGCTAAGTTGATAGGGGCTTAGTTACAGCAGCTCCTCATACGGAGTAACTTACCTAGTTCGGCTTTGGAGACTGAAAGTTTTAAGCGTTCTGCTGAACTCTTTTACAGATCTGGGCCTGAGTGCTACCTTGGAAGGATCCATGGCTTTCAGTCGACTTATCCGAGGCGCACAGATTCCCACCTGCACTGAAGGCTTCGCTTCCAGGTAGGCTGAGAAGCATCTGTAGGTCCGCAGGCTTTGAGCGTGCAGCAGATTGCCAATCCCACAGCACGCGTTACCCAGCACCTCCGGCCAAGCGGGACCGGGCAGGTTCACCTCCCGGGCAAGCACGCTTTACTGGAAGGGTGAGTCATGCCTGCAGTGTTGGCTCCAGGAAGGAGAAAGGTAGGAGAGAGGTGTCTTTCCCTTTCCCAACAGGTGAGGGAGTTAGATTGTTCCCCACTTTGTTTTTCTAGAGACCGAAGCCTTCTTTCTAGTTCTAGGAAAAGGACCCAGACGCCTCGATGAAACTGGGGCTGTTTAGTCTGGAGAAAAGGAGGCTGAGGGGAGACATTATTGCTCTCTTCCAATACCTGAAAGGTGCTTACAGTGAGAGCGGGATTGGTTTTTTCTCACTGGTGACAGGTGACAGAACGAGGGGAAATGGCCTCAAGTTGCGCCAGGGTAACTTTAGGCTGGATATTAGGAAACACTTCTTTAGAGGAAGGTTTGTTAAGCACTGGAATAGGCTCCCCAGGGAGGGGGTTGAGTCACCATACCTGTTGTGTTTAAAAACCGTCTGGATGTGGTGCTCGGGGACGTGATGTAGTGCAGGGTTGTTAGAGTTAGGGTGGTACGGTGAGGTTGTGGTTGCACTCAGTGGTCTTTAAGGTCTTTTCCAACCGGAGCGATTATGTGATTCTATGATTCTAAACCCTACGCTACAGTTTGAAGATTTCTTACAAATGCTGGCACTCTGCTACGTTCCCCTTGGCACCCGTGTGCACCCAAAGTCTCAGTTGCCGGGCCTGCTAACTGCAGGTAATTAGCCAGTTAGAATCCACTTTGAGCTCCAACCTGACTGTATGTGACTGCGTTGTTTTACATTATTTGTCTTTAACACAATAATCCATAACATGAAACAGAAAGCGATGCCGTGCCTTCTCTGTTGTAGTGTAGCAAGCATCAAAGCAGCGAGCGTGAGAGCATTTCCACCCTCAGATGCTTCTGTCAGCCTGCAACGAATTGTTTTTTCTCTTTGATTAACAGAAACTGTTGTCCTTGTAGATTAAAAGCAAGCAAGGCTCCCCGAGAGGTTCGTGTGATTGCTAATACTTTATTCCATCTCGGCTTTGATTCTCTGTGTTCTGACGCAGATTTTGTCTTTGAAGGAGCAGCTTGCTGGAAGCGGCTTGTTGCCTAAAGGCGCCGCTCAGCCACCGCACCCTCCCCGGGTGGAAGCTGCAGTCCCACCAGAGATAGTGCTCTGTAACATTGCCTTATACTGAGAGATAGGACAGAACTGAACAATGTGTGGGCCCAGAGCCCAAAAGCAGCATCAGTGACGCTCAGGGACAAGGAGACCCGCTGAGGACCGGTACCCTGGATGCCTTACAGCTGCACAGCAGCAACAAGTCCTTCTACAGAAGGAGAGTTTCTAGTAAAGAAACAACTGCATTGTGGAAAGCGGTGGAAACCGTACCTCAGTTTAACGTCAGTTTCTATCATTGAGTGGCAGTGCAGAAAATGTATTGGTGCTTGCAGCTTGCAGCACTGTATTTACTGGTGCTCCACGTGTGCATCATGTTCCCCCCAGAGCCTGGCAGTGCCTCCCTCACCCCCAGTGTTTCCCAGTTTCCCGGTGGCAGCTGGGGAACACTATTCAGCGTGCAGGCACCATCCGCAGCACCTCCAGGAGCGACAAACTTGGCGTTTGCTCCCCCCAGACTTTTGCTACTTGGCAGGCTGTTAGCTGATGGGACGTTGTAATGGAACGTTAATCAAGGAGCCGGTTTCTCTGAGTAAACATTCCACTGGGAGTGAGGTATCTGCCGCAACCATTTTCTATGCAGAAATACAGAGGAACTCCACAGAAGAGCTCCTCATGAAACTGAGGGTGTGAGCAGGTTGGGGTACGTATATGATAACCGCTTCTTGAGGATTTTATTACTTCCCTTCCCATCTTGTAATGGCACTGCCTGATAGTAACGACAGTTTCCTTTATTCCTCGGCCCTGTCGGGGCCGCAGCAGTGGGCACGCCGCTGGGAAAAAGCAGAAGACAGAGGACAAAACCGCCGCGCCGCACGGGTTGCAGAGCTGCCCGTTCCAGTGACGTGCAACACTGAACTTCACTCAGGTTGGTCAGCTGCAAAATGCGCTCTGTGTGGGAAATGACTCTGGGAATGAGCAGTTCTCATTTTGTTGAGAAAAATCTGTTGGCCTAATTTATAGCACAAGTGCTATCTGGCTCATCGATGAAGGTGCTCACCCAAGTTTTTGCCTGGCCTCAGTGGCTCTTCTACAACAGTTCCTTGGCTGATTGCTGATTGCTTCCCTTTTTCTGTTGCTTGCAAGACAATCAAATGTAGTGTTAGCTGCCAAAGAAAGCCTCGAAGGAGATGGGAAAGCACAGGCATAGTAGTTAAGGAAATAAAGGGACGTCCTGGGAACAGAGAGCGGTGCTGCCTGCACTTGGAAGTAGGAAGGTGTTTCTCTATAGTCGACTTAAAACCTCTCTGATATAACTGGTTTCAACGGTTCTTTTCACTGTGAGACTTCCATGCCAGTCACAGGAAAGCCAGCTCCGTGCTTTCTGACGGCAGCGTCTCGGCGACTCGGCGGTGAGGAGGATGAGTAATCATACGCAGGGACTCAAATCACCCTCTGATGAGCAAGTGGTTTGTTAGTTTTTAGCAGTAGCTGAATCTTCAGTCGACGAAGCTGGGGGCCCTTTATTGCTTCCTATTTATGAGTGAGGTAAAACTATCTTGAAGTAAACGGACAAGTTGTTGCACAGATCTTAAGGTGCGTTTCAGCCTGCTTTCTTACTGCACGCCCTTCCTACGGGCGCAAAGATGGGAAGGCACAGCTGAGCGCTTTATGTTTTGTGCTCACGCGCACGCTACTTTTCTCTTTCCTTTCACTTAATTGCTCTATGACGTGTGTGCTTACTTACATGTATTAAGAAATACAGGCTGTAATCACAGAGGCTCTCCACGCTCTTGCAATTTACAGTTCAATTCTTCGTGCTTACAGATACGTCGGTGCGACAGTTCTTCGTTGGTTTTTCAGGGGAACAGGGGGGAGGTCAGTGGCATCTGGAACAGAGAAAAGTTTTCTTAAAAAGAGCTCATAAACTGTTAGAGTCCGTGCTTATCCTTGTCAAAATGTGACGGTGTAAATACACCTCCTACTGAATAACAGGAAAAAACATTGCTTTCAAAATGAAGGGCTGGCGGTTGACGTACTGCTTTCACACTCAAACAGGGAAGCAGGTGGCTTCTTTTTGCACTGAACTTCACGGGCATGCTTCACAGAGCTACGAACTTGTCTTACAACAGGACCTAATATGAAGAAATTGTACAGAAAGGAGGCTTATGAGAAGCAGACGGAAGGAGCGAGAGAACCCCTGAGCTTTTCGGTCCTGTCAGATACGGTTTTCCTCGGCTCCCTGAAATCCAGTAAGTACCTGAAGATCGCGGCAGTTGGTGGAGGAGGCAGGGGTGGTAGATGATGGTGTTCTTTTTTCCTTTTACCCTGTCCCTTTTCTTTTTCCCCTTTTTACTACGGTAAACAAATTTTCAGTTTAGGACATCAGCAAAGTGTGTGCATAATACTGTATTTAATTTGTTAAGAAAAGCACCTCGGTTTGTGTTGGGGCTGAAGTCTAGAACCAGATTCACCGTAAAGGCACGTTATCTTACAGAACATTCTGTTTTCTGCGTATTCATACTGTTTAGAGAATAATACTGGGTGAGGTAATTTAAATGGAGTTGAAAGTCATTGAAAAGACGGTAAAGCTCATCGAGTCCAACCGTGACCTAACCGGACTACCCTAACTAACAACCCTCCACTCAGTCATGTCCCTGAGCACCACATCCAAACGGTTTTGAAACACATCCAGGGATGGTGACTCGATCGCCTCCCCGGGGAGCCTATTCCAGTGCTCGGCAACTCTTTTTGTACAGAAGCTTTTCCTGGTATCCAGCCAAAACCTCCCCCGGCGCGAATTAAGGCTATACATCAGAGAAATGTCTGTGATACTGCAGAAGCCAGTATGGGCCCCCAAGCCCGTAGGGTATGCAAAGGAGGAGTCAGCGGTCGCTTCTTGTGCCGGAAGATCACCGTGGAGTTCCACAAGGATGTTTTTATCGCTGGTGTGAGAAAGAGAACGAACGGAGAAGCGATACAGTTTGCTAGGTTACTCACTGTAAGCGAGACAAGGGTAATGGCCAAAAAGATATAGAAGGCTCTTTTGGGGTACTAGAGCAACAGATCAAGTTCCTCGTCGATGTACGCAGTGTGACGAGCGCAGGAAGAGAAACGTTTCTTTTCAGGAAGGACTATTTGCACAAACATCATCCTTAAATTCCTTTGTGTAATTTCTACTAAAATTACTGATGTCTTCCAAATTGTAGGAAATGATAAGCAAGCGGCACCGAATAACCAAGTAAGTCTTATGAAGTCACGAGTAAGTAGCTTAACTTCCCTTTGGGCCTGAATTCTTGCATTTTGGTCTGTCAATTGTACGTAATTATTAGATTTACTGCCTGTACTGTGAAGCAATTAACGTAGGAACTATACCGCTCTGTCACATTCATTTGTTTCCCGTTTGTTTCTTTCTCACTGTTTCAGATTGCTCTGCCCTCTTTTATCCAGGATGAGTAGAAGAAGAAACGAGACGGAGTTACAAATGAGCTTTCTCAGGTATTTTATCTTTTTTCTGTTGTTTTTGTTTTTAGTAAATTACTCATACCATCATTTACTCGGATTCTTCTTTGAAAAATATGTTTTAAGACTGCGTGGAAATCATGCAAGTCCCTGAGATAGATGGGTTTACTATTGTTCTTAGAGTACTGTTTACCTTCTGCTGAGGAAACTTTATGCCTAACCACGTTGGGTCAAGCTTTATTTTCAGGATCTGTTGAAGTCCAGAGAGAAACAATATTGCTCCGGTTTCACTTTAGCATAGTTTGGAGAATGTCTGACCTAGGTATGGTTCAGCAGGGCCGTGTTTGCCTCGAATGACAACCGCGTGGACGTGCTTGGCTTGTTCTGCCGGCGATTGCTCTTAAAAATCTCCACCCGTCTTTCTTTTAAGTCCATGCCGGTGGTTTTTTTGCTGTAATGATGCGTTTGTGGAATATGTTGTGCTTTTATCATATTCCATATGGTACGTTACGAGTTGTCTTTGACAACACGTTGTGTTGGAATGGGATGACGTCTAAAGCTGCACCGTGCTTTGTACTTACCGGGGCCCTTAGGGACGGTTGTACTGAACCATTGTTATTAGTTTGAAACAATTG